GATATTAATATAATTAAAAATTTAATTATATAATATTTAAGCCTGGTCAATAACCAAGTCTATTTCATTATTATTACAAAGTAATAATGATAATTATACAAATAATATATTAATAGTTAATAAAGATGTTGGGCGTTAAAAAAAGGATTATTGTTAGCAATACTCACCTTTTAGTCGTTGAACGTCCTTATTTTATTTTATCTTATAATATAGATAAATTTAACAGTGATTAATACTGCTAATTGCTAAAATAAGTTTCGCTTCAAATACACTTAAATTATTTTAAGTTGTCTTTGAAATTTACCCAATATATTACCAATATTTTATAATATTGGAGGACTCACAGTTATAAATCCCTAGCGTAACTTTTTCTATAATCCAAGACCTTTCCTTAATGCATCTTGTGATCATATGCCCCGCTTACGCGACTGATAGACTTGTAGGTCAAACAGTAAAGCAAGATTTAGCCATTAAACTTTTAAAGTATAATTAATTATCATATTAATAAAGGTAAAAAATACAATATTAATATGAGAAAAAACTTTTAAATATTAAAGTTTAAAATACATCTATTCACCATATAGTTAAAATCTTACTTAAATAAAAAATACATATTGAATTTAATCTAACAATAACTGTATAATTATAAATATAATTATAACAAATTAAAATATTTGTAAAGAAATTTACAAATTTACAATATGAACTTTGGATATACCCAGGTACTTTTTGTGGGATCTGTGCCCCGCATAAACTGCCTTCTAATCCTCAAGAGCATATAATAGGAAACAAATAAAGGTGTTTCATTGCTATCAGACAACTACCTTATACACTCGAAATTATCCTAAATTTTCACTCTTGCAATTAGTAACAGTAAAGCTGCATAGGGTCTTCTCGTCTATCTAGAGGTAAACAGTATCTGCACTGCTATTCCAATTTCACTGAGACAATCATCGAGACAGCTGTTGTATCGTTAAGTCATTCATGCAGGACCGCATTTAACGGCCAAGGTATTTCGCTACCTTAGGACCCTCATAGGTAAGGCCGCCATTAATCGGGGTATCCTTCAAAACCTCAGTTAAAAACCAAGGTAAATCCGTTATCCAGCCGACATTGGGCAGACATCACACTCAATACTTTGATATTTTATCTTTGCAGAGTGCTGTGTTTTTATTAAACAGTCGTACAACATTATTTTATGTTTCCTCTTATCCTTAATTTAATTAAATCATACCTGTAAGGTATGTTAAACTAATGATAATGGCCCTCCTTATCCCGAAGTTACGGTAGTCAATTTGCCGAGTTCCTTAATGATTGTTCACTCAAACGCCTTTGTATTCTCTACTTGCTTACTTGTGATAGTATCTAGGTACGGTATATAGAAAAACCTTATTATATTTACATTATATATCTGTATAATAGTCTTAATATATACAATAATGTAAAATATAAAAATAAAATATATCTTTTTTTTTATAAAACTCTATTACATTCTATTTAAACTATGTAATCTTGAAAACTTGTAACAAGAAATTAGATAGTAAATACAATATAACATATTGAGTTTTATTCATAAGACTATTAGTTTATATATATTTTATTTAAGTAAAAAATTTTCCAGAACCTTTATTACTTATTAAAGGTTTTGTTTTTTACTATTAAGTATTTTTTATAAAAATATCATCAAAATTACCTTTTGATTAATATATTTAGATACCGAAAATTAAATAAAATACCATAAGCTTAAGGCGAGGATATTCCTTTTTCGTTACTCATGTCAGCATTCTCTCTTGGATTATATTAATGGATTAATTTAATTTTATTTAGTTTATTAATAATCCATATTTATTATTTCTTAAATAAGAAATAATAATTAATATTTATCCAATGTTCCGCTACCCCACATATACAATATTATTATTATATTAATGTGTACAAGGTTTCGGTATATTGTTTAGATCCGTTAAATTTTCGGTGTTTTTTTCTAAAAAATTAATCAGTGCTCTGTTACGAGGTCTTCAAAAAATGGCCGCTTCTAAGCCTATTTCCTGATTGTATTAAAAAAAAACATCCTTAATTTCACTCAACAATAATTTTGGAACCTTAACTCTTGTTCTGGGCTGTTTCCCTTTAGACATACAACCTTATCGCACTATGTCCGATTATTCAACATTCATCTTTGCCATTCCGAGTGCAAATACTCTCCGGTAAAGTCACTACAACCCCCCGATGTTGACAAAATCAAAAGATATTGTCCGAGATCACAGTTCTGTACCTGCTAAGATGTTAATTAAATTACCTACTCATATAGGTTTCGCGGAAAACCAGCTATACTAGTCAGTTTTGTCTTTCACTAACTTACCACAATTCTTCGGATATCTATACAACGATAACCCGTTCGGGCTTTTATAACCCTGACCATGGTAAGATCACTAGCCTTCGGGTCTAATTCTAGATACTTATTCATTTTTTCATAATTGGTTTATCTAAGCTAGTTTTATGCGAAAACCACATAAAATCATAGCTTGCATCTAAAATTAACTTGCTGACCCATTATGCAAAAGGTACGCTCTTATTTTTTATTTAAATTTCACTCGAGCTGCTTATAAAATTACTATTTCAAATTTTACCTCACGGTACTTTTCACTATCGCTTATATATCATTTTTAGCCTTAGAGGAAGGTTCCCCTATATTCAAACAGATTTTAATCCATTTTACTTTTAACAAGTTTTGTTATTAGGCTTTTGTTATTTAGTTGACACCAAATAACAATCTCGTTTGATTTCTTTTCCTAAAGTTACTAAGATATTTCAATTCACTTCGTTTATTATCTGATTTCTCTTAGAAACTAGATTGACTAGATATTCTTTAATATATAGCTAATTATCCATAATAATTTCTTTATATACTTGCCTTGATTTTTCAAGAAATATATCTTTCATATTACCTATATTGCTAGATACACTTATAAATTAAATTTTTACTTCAGGTTATTATGATTCGAACATAACTACTCCTCAACCCAAATGAGACGCCTAACCAACCTGGCTCTAACCTGTAGAATTATAACCCTATTAAGGATTAATTATTTAATTTAATCATGTAATGTATATGTAATACCAGAGAGTATATGATTCGAACATATGAAAGTTTTTACCTTTAGCTAGACTCAAGCTAGCCGCCTTAAACCACTCAGCCAACTCTCTTATTTAATTACTTTAGATTTATTTAGAATCTAAAATTTGATATTTATTGTTGTAAACAATAAACTTGTTTTATTTTAATATAATTAATTTAATTATTTTAGATGATTCTTCAGTGACTCGAACACTGAACATATCCTTATCAAGAACACACTTTACCGGTTAAGTTAAAGAACCAACAAAAGAAATCTTTTTCAAGAGCACTTAGACTTGAACTAAGAAATATAAGGTTGAAGCTTACAGTTTTACCTATTAAACTATGCTCTTCGGAAAAGAGATGAATCGAACATCTAAGTGTAAAAACACAATATTTAGCAAATATCTTACCCTACCAATAGCAACTTTTCCTTTAATTACGGGTTAGACCGGTCTCGATCCGGCATCTATTTTCTCGACAAGAAAACCCTTTACCTATTAAGTTACTAACCCTTTTTACGGCTAGTCGAATTCGAATCGACACTCTTCGTGTGGAAGACGAACAGTCTACCATTAACTTATAGCCATTATAATTTTAATTACTAACCAGTTCAGATAATATTTTACACTTATGACTAGCTGAATTCGAATCAGCACATCTTATTTGGTAAATAAGCAGTCTACCGTTAACTTATAGTCATTTAATATACCTATTAAAAATTTTTTCATTTTTTAGTATAATTTATTTATATAAGACCTACAGGATTTGAACCTGCACTATAATGATTAAAAGTCACATGTTCTACCTATTGAACTAAGATCTCTTTCATATTCTTTTAATATGAAATATACTATAAAATTTTAATTATCTATAGACTTATATTTATTACTGTATCCATAATTGTTTCCATCATTTTCTTTTTTTTATTTAATAACCTCAATAATATACAGAAATGTATAAGAATAATCATACAACATCAACAAAATGTCAGTATAAAATACCTGACTCATAACCAAGATGATGATGATCTGTTAAATGATATGCAGCTAAACGTCATAAACCTACAGCTAAGAATGCTGTTCCTATGATTACGTGTAATCCGTGGAAACCTGTTCCAAAATAGAAACATGATCCATATACACTATCAGAAATAGTGAATGATGATACTGTATATTCTACACCTTGGAAGAATGTGAATATTATTGCTAATATAATTGTAGCAACTGTACCATATAATGCACCTTTTCTATTACCTTGTATTAATGAATGATGAGCGTAAGTAATTGTTACACCTGATGATAATAAGATTATTGTATTTAATAATGGTAATTCAAAAGGATTTACACCTTGTATTCCTAATGGTGGTCATTGTGCTCCTAATTCTATACTAGGTGAAATTGCACTGTGGAAAAATGCTCAGAAGATTGCTAAAAAGAAAAATACTTCAGAAATAATGAATAAACCTACACCTAAATTTAATCCTTTTTGTACTGCATTTGTATGATTTCCTAAATATGTTCCTTCAGAGATTATATCTCTAAATCATAATCCCATAACATAAGCTACATTAATTACAGCTACAGGTACTAGATAACCAAAACCTTGAAAACCGTGCATAAATAAAACTGTAGCAGTTGTAAGAATAAATAATGAAATACTAGTAAATAATGGTCAAGGTGAAGGTGATACTAAATGAAATGGATGATTTTGAAAATTTCTTTTCGATTGATATAACACTTTTTAAATTTTAATAGATAAGATTTCAATAGTAATTACCTTTGTTTTATAGTTATAACTATTGCACCTACCATACCTAATAATAATATAACTGAACTTATTATTAATCATATTGAATAACTAGTATACATTATGTTTCCTATTCCTGTTATATGAGTAAATTCTACTAATGAACTATCTCAACCTTTACTACTTGCATAAGCTATTTCTTGTTTTAAATCTACTATATTAAAAAATTCATTATCTAATTGAACATTATATACTTCAGAAAATGAATTTGATAAATAAGAAACAATTGTATTATCTGTTAAATTAGAAGGTAATACTTGTCCTACGATATAGTAGAAAAGTAAAACTGTTAAAACAGCTAAAGGTATATCATTATTAGTTTCACTCAAAAGTTCAGATATTCTAATATTTATTAACATTAATATGAATAAGAATAAAATTGATACAGCTCCTACATACACTAAAATATAAGATAATCCTATGTAATTATATCCCACTAATATTAATAAACCAGCAATATTAACAAACAAACCTATTAAAAATAATACAGATACGATAGGGTTTCTACTTACAATAGTTAATACTCCAAACAAAATAGAAATTAAATAAATCATATCAACAAATTCTATCCTGAATCCATTAGTAATATAATCGTTTAATAAAAATATATTATTCATAAAAAAAATTTTTTAATCTTTCATAATTTTATACAAATATAAAATATCAAGATAGGAGATTTTAGGGTGATTAGGAAGAAAAGGAATCGAACCTTCGATGGCCTATAGCCATTGAGTTTACAGCTCAACCCGTAAACCAACAAACGGACCCTTCCTTATATATATATAATATATATATATTTTTGTCTTTTTCTGGATTTGAACCAGTTGGATATAATCCAATATACCTAAAAAAGATTATATAAAATATAATAATATTTTATACTGTCT